GGTCTTTGCTGTAGTTTACTGTGAGGTAAAATGTTACAAAAATCGTAGTTTAATCTTTAAATTTTATGTTTTAGAGATATTAAAGATCGATATAGTGTCAAAACATTAAGAAATCGATCCGGAAAACAAAGTCAAGATGATTCAATAATGGTAACGGGGTCAGTAAAGATAAAATGAACTCAAAAGCAAGTTAAGATATTCGAAAAATATTAATTTTACACATTTAAAAAATCCGGAAATTAAACTTATATGACATTAATGTACGTTTAGAAATTTAAATATAATATAATAAATTTGCAGAAAATAATTCTATTATTTTTAATTTTAATATTACCATGTATTATTTGATTGATTTCAATTTCAATGATTTAATTATATAACTAAAAGCAGACATTAGTTTTAAAATATTTTCAACTTTTAATATAATTAATTCTTTATTAGATTTAAGGATCTTGTTTTATTAAATATTTCTTTAAAAGTAAGCATTTTCTAAAACTTCATTTTCAATTACGTTCACAGATGGCAGCACGTGTTTTTGCCATTTCATATGTTATTTCGTTGTCGTTAGATCAATGGTATGGTTATTATTATTTTTTAAAATATAAATCATTAAGTAAGAAGTATATGAATAATGTAATTTCTTCATTTAGTTAAGTTTAAAACAATTTCAATCCGATATTTAAAATTTAAATGAAAATATTAAGAGGGGTGAAATTTGAAGAATTAGAATATGCTAATGAAAAAGAGAAAATGGATTTCAATGAATATTGAAAACCATTTTTTTCTTCTTGCATTTAGCATATTCCAATTCTTCAAATTTCTCTTAAATATACATTTTATTCATGTTTAATCGATCCTTAACTTTTACTACATGATTAACGATTTAATAGGAACAATTCCTTATTAGTTCTAACATTAAAACGGTTTCTCCAGTAAATTATTCTAAAAAAAATTCTTCGTGAATTTGGAGATAAGTTAATGCGAATTTTAACTTTGTTTGATAATGAAAATTTAATTTGTAGAAAAAAAACTAATTTATTATAATTAATTTAACTTACCCGCATCCATTTTCTCATTATACTTTTGTACAAGTCACACGTTTTACATGAAAATATAATAAAACTATTTTATGTCTACAACAAAATCAATTTTGTAATTTTTTTTCCAATAATGATTCGTGGTAAGGATGATCTTGGATAAGGATGAAGGTGAACCTGGTAGGGATGAAGGTAAGGACAAGTTACATCTAAATTATCTTATTTTTTCGAAAAAAAATTATAGATTAACGGTATTCTCATATGCTTTATATATTAATAGTTTGAAAATATATAATGTTAATTATGTGAAATAATTGATAATTTTTATCTAAGTAAATTTCAATAATTTATTTGACTCTGATAAACATTTTTATCATCATTACATTAATTATTGATATATTTGTTAGTATATTTAAATATTTTTGTTACTTTAAATTATTTCTTTAAGTGATGTAATCTGAATTTTCTTTATATTGATATTTATATTGGAATAAAATTTTTCTTCTGATTAAGTAACATTTTTATTGCTGTAAAGGACTATAGAAAGGAACTTCAATAAAGTGAATCAATCCTAACTCCACTGTTTATTTTTACCTTTATTTTAATAGAAGATTGTCTTTTATTTTGTTTAATTACTTTTCCTTGTGTATATATAAGCTTATAAAATTACATTTGAAATATTCTTTAAAGAATCTTTGAAGTAAAGTAGAAATTTTCTTCAGGTGATATGGAAATAACTACTTCTCTAAATAATTTTTAAAATAAAAATTTATATAATTATACATATGCATATTAAATGATCAGTTAAAATAAATGATTTTAAACATTTTTTTATTTATCAGAAATGAATTAATAAATGAATTTATAATGATTTCGTTTAAATTGATATCTTTTTTATAGATATTTTTATATTTAATTCAGTATTCGATAGAATAAATAAATTTCGTTTCGTTAATTATATTATTAAATTTAGAAAAAAAAGTCTTTTATTAAAATTGCAAATTATATAAATTAGTTTTATTTGTTTTTTCTTAAAATTGAAAAGAATAAAAATATTTAGGAAGAGTTTATCTAAAATTTATTTGTGTTTTATTGTAAACTTGTTTAATATTAATTAAATAATTTAATATTAGAGTAATAAAAATTATTAATTAGTTAATTTTTTACTATTTAAATTTAAAAAAAAATATCATCTATTATATTTAAAATTATTATTGCGCTCTTTAAATACGAGTTGAATATCGTAACTTATATCAGCATTTAGTTTTACAATTAATAGTGTAATTTAATAATAAATTACAGTGAAAGAGAAAGAAATTCTATAATTTCATTTTTTATTTTCATTTTTTAACTGTACAAATGTATATTGTCCATTGGTTTCTAAAGAAACACGAGAAAGAGAGAGAGAAGTGAAATCAATCATAACAATACGCTTACATCAACAATTTATAATTTATGTACAATAACACATCGTAACGAATTCAGAATTTTCCAGAATCATTAAGTAATTAGTTCAATTAAAATTATTAACCGCAATGTTTGTTCGGTGGCAGGTATGGAGGATGGAATTTACATTTTGTATGAATTCTACTCATATACTCCAATGCATTTGTCAGTAAATGTAATATACTACAAAATTTTCTATATGAAGTTCATTTCGTACAAGAATTCGTGATTTACATTATCTATATACAGCACACAATAGAATAATATTAAATAAGTCGTCTTAATTCGTCTACAATTATTCTAAGCTAAATGAAACATTAATTTTTAAGTTATAATTATTACACTAAAATTAATTCTCAGATAAGAAAATAATTTAAAAATATTTCTAAAATTAAATATTAAACAAAATAACTCTGAAGAATTTCCTATTTTTCATATCTCAATTTTTAGCAATCATTTTTATTTTCGCTGGATGAAAATATTTTTCATAAAATTGTCATTATTTATACAATTTTTTATTGTTATTTTTATACATTAAGGAAAATTAACAAGAGTTTTATAATTAGTTGCATGCATTATAAGGCCTTATTACGGTTGAATAAACATCTTATCTAAAGATATCATAATTATTATATAGGGGAGATCGGGGCAAGATCGGCATGTTAAGCTTTACTTAAATTTTGTGTAATAAATACTGCTTTAAACTGAAAAAAAAAGCTTTGCATATTGTCTATTGGAATGTTACCTTACTATAGAACTGGTTAAAATCAGTTTGGAAATAAAAATAATTAAAATAATTACAACTTTACAAGAAGAGAGAAATTGACGAAGTTGCCCCGGGTATAGGGGCAAGATCGGCAACTTCTCTCTTTTTGTAAAGTTGTAATTATTTTAATTATTTTTATTAAAGTTGCCCCTGGTATAGGGGCAACAGTAATGGGGCAAGATAGGCACGTATATAAAATTATGTTATTAACAATGTATAAGTTGGAATTCACTATTAAAACAAAGAAATACAAATCCAACACCCATTTAATATTATTACAACGAAATGCAAGTTCAAAGACATATATACATGAATAACAAATGCAAACATGTTTTCATTTATCATCTGTTTGATTTTTATCCTTTGCTTCTAATGTGGCTTTATGTTGCCGATCTTACCCCGCTAGTCATGATTTCGAAACATTAAGTACAACCCTGAGAACAGAATGCCAAGCCACGATCTGGCCACGTGAATAAGTTGAAGTTACATCCTTCTAACAGGAAAAGTAACTTTCGTTATCATGGAATTATAACAAAACCTGCCAATTCAATATAAATGGAAAAAAAATATTATATGGAATTGAACGAAAATGAAAATTTGCTTGATAATTCAACTACGCTTGTTGGAGAACAATAAAAACACTACACTCAACAAGCCACTAATAAAACTCAACTGCCTAACCTATAACCAAAGTCTCCTTTTAATTTGTTTTTTAAAAAAAGCACTTGACAAACTTGCCCCGCATGCCGAAGTTGCCCCGATCTCCCCTAATTATTACTATTTGCATCAATTGAAGAGTAAGATCTTCATTTACAAAATTATTTCGTGTTATTATACATATTTTAATTGTAGAAGGAATATTTTTAAGATTCCCAAATATTTTTTGGAGTAGCATGCACTTTATAATTTTTATTATGACTTTTTTACATTAAATTCGATTAATCAATTTACATATCTAATCTATTCATAGCTAAACTTGTCCAATTATAAACTATTTAAAAATGAATTGAGCTAAAGTTTCCTTTCTAACAATTATGCACCACTGAATATTTGGCAAACTTTTACAATATTTATATAATTTTATATACATACCGTATATGTTTTTGTAAATTTTATATTTACAGAAATTTTTATGTAAAGAGATTTGATACTTCGTCGAATACAGTTTTTGAAATTAATTAATTTTTAAACTATAAGAGAAATAATATTTTAAAATATACCGTACATTATGTAAGCTAAATTAAATGATAATAAATGTAGATAACGTTGTATTAATAATCTCCGTAACACTTTCTGAATGAAAATAATTATTATAGATATAACTTATTACATGAACGCAACATTAATCTTTACTAAAATTTCTTATCTATAATTCTAGTCAAATTCATTGCTCTGTAAATAATATCAAAATGTTTAACTACTAGGATATGAAGAGAATTTTTTCCTATCGTAAACCATGCTTGGGAGAAGCAGTGTGTAGCAAATAACGGAGAAAAAACATTTGCTCCCTAGTAAAGGCGATCGTCATACCCGTTGTTAAATGTGACGACGATAGAAATCAATTGAACCCTTCATTGGTTGATTGTGAAGGGCGAATTTAATAAATCTTCATGATGTATAAAGAACTGGACGTATGTCATTGGCTCGGTGTATGTAGTTAATCAATCATTGCCTTTAAACGTGCCTGTTTATTGGCAAAAGATCCTCGTTAGGATCATATTTTTTACATTATATTTTATATAGTACAAAGACTAAGATTCCGTGCAATCAAAAGTTACAGGTGATTTTCTCATTTCTATCATTTGCATGATTCCATTTTCTTGAGGCACCTCCATCGCAGCTGGGACATACGTTGTACCTGGTATACATTTCGAACACTGCCTTCTTAAAGCTGGTCTTTGTCTCGATGCTCTACACTTTACAGCAAATCTTAATTCTTGGGCCATTTCAGAGCATAATGATTGCTGAGTTGAACAGAAAATCAGGTTCTGGCATTCAATTAAAAAAAACACACAACTCAGATAATGAAAAAAGCTGCTTTCAATGCAATTATAATATGTCATGCATGAAAGTATACATTAAATAAATTATTCATATTAAGCAAATAAATAAACAAACACGTTTAAATAATAAAATATTTAGTTTTATTTATACTAATTAATTAATTATATTTATTTGAAAAATTTTTATTGATTTTTTGAAGAGATGTGCAAGACCTTACCCGTTCCGTTTGTGCGTTTTTCCTGCTATTCCAGAAAAACTCGAATATCGCTGTCAAAATAGCAATAGCTAGCCCACATAACAATACAACGAAAACGCCTCCAATATTGTCTACACCCAGAGAGTTGGCTTTACTTTCTTTGTTTTTATCATCTCTGGAGCACATAATACCCGGACTTTTCCACCATTTGTTATAGAGCATATGAATTACACCTTTTTCTTGCAAATCAAGAATAGTAAGAGAAATTTTATCTCTCCAGGGTGAACCTAGAAAATTATTTTTCATAAAGTTACTACAAGTAATATCAAAATAAATATTCTTATTTAATGTTTATTTAATAGCAACACACTATTTTATTCGCTAAATAGCCATGTTTACTCTTATTTTAAAAGAAAACAACTTTTATATTTTAGCTATTTGTGTAAATCAATACAGATTAAAGTTGTTTTCAAAACAAAATTAAATGTAAGTTATAAACTTTCGTGTGGAAATTGTCCTTCAGTAAAGGTTAGCATAAAGTTGTTTATTATAAGATATCTTTTATTGAATTCTAGCCAAATTTGTTCAAGGTTATCAAAACTAAACCGAAATATAATATTGATAAGAAAAAAAAAGGGGATTTTAAACACAGGAAAAATGACTCTAAAAATGAAAATAATTTCTGTTACGATTTTAATGTTAAAATTAAGATATTATTCTACTTTTAAAAATATAAATAATTAATTTTTCTACTAATATAAGTTTTAATTAATAGAATAAAACCAAAACTGTATTTATGCATCATTTTTACATATTTTAAAATTTATTAAAGTTATTTATTTAAAGTTATAAATTAATAGATTAAATGCTTTCAAACGTTATTATTAAGGTAAAAAAGGAGCTAGTAACATCCATTTTAAAGTAGAAATTGATAAAGTTTTACCCATTGGAGTAGCAATTCCATATCCTTTAGAATCTAAAAGTCCTCCTACTTGAGTTAAATTGCAGTCTCTCTGAACCATGAAATCTAGCATGGTAGATTCCATCAGAAATGCATAATTTCCTTCTAAAACTCTCCTTACTCCTTCTTCATATGAACTTACAAACATCGAAGGCCTACTTTCCATATAACGCCACATTTTTTGATAAGTATCTATTTTTGAATCCTGTAAAAAGAACGATTCAATTAATTAAAGCATTAATAAAAACTTGGAAATTAATGATAGACGTACCCTAAAGAAGGTCATTGTGGAGCCACCTTCTAGAGTACCGTAAGCAATTTTATTTTGCTCGGCTAAATCTTCTACACTTTCAATAGGTGTGATCATTCGCTCTACAGTCAGAAATGCGGCTAAATTGGCTGTGTACGAGGAGATCATTATTAAAGTGAAGAACCACCAGATTGCACCTATTATACGTGTCGACGTGGCCTTGGGATTTAGGTCGCAGCCCTGATGCATCAGGGTTACGATGGTAAACCAGAAACTATTTGCTAAACTAAACTGGTTCTCCATCACGTCGGTTTCCGCAACGCACGGATGTGGGTTTTGCCACTCGTACGGACTAAATCTGGCCACGATAAACATCGTAGAACTCACAAGGACGTAAGCAGCAAGCACGTAAAGCCAAATATCCACTGCTAGTGGACTCATAAAAGAAAATAACCGAGCTGGTAAATTTTTTGGCAATTTAAATAATATACCGATTCCAAGATTCATGAAGGGTTTGGTGAAATCTATAACACTTTCTCGAACGTAGTTTATAGTCATCGGAGCGACTGCTAAATCCGCATTCTGTAAATAAATGATTATTATAGAAATCAACAAATTTATTTTAAAGATCGTGTTGTTTACATAAAATTTAGTATTGTAAATATAACCTGTGATTACGGTACTTAAATAAATAATTTGAATAAATAAGCTGTAAAAACATGCGGGCTATTAAATTTTAGACAGTCTTACCCGTATAAATAAATACTATTGACTTATATATTTTGTTTATAACTCATAAAATAAAAAAAGAAGATAAAATTTTAAAGTTTGACTTCTATATAAAATTTTTAATCATGTTTAACATTTAAAATATATAAATAATAAATCATACTTTATCAATAATTTCTCTAACAAGACCATTCCATTCTCCCGTTGTTGTGTTTTCAGCTCCAAATTTTTTGTCTGGAACTAAATATAGTTCATAACTAAATCCAAGTAGATCGGCTATGGTTTTTAACAAATCGATACAAAAGCCTTCGAACCTCTCGTTTCCGGTCAAATTATGATCAGCTTTAAGCATTACATAAGGCTGCGACTATTAAAGTAAAGTTCAAACCATATAAGCTATTATTTATCTTAATAACATGCTTTAATTTTCATAAAAACAGCTTACTTGAATTGTCGTTACTTTCAGTGTAATGTTAGTCACACTAAACTCATGAAAAACAGTGTGATTAGTAATATTTAACCCGTTTGTCGTTGACCATTCTCCAACCTGATAATAAATTATATATGAAAGAGATATCAATTTTAACAGTAGAATTAAAATAAAACTCTTGTAAATATTATGCTCTATTTATTCGTATGTAAAATGATTGGAAGTCCGTAACCTACAAGGAAAATACGCTGTTTAGTTCTGTCAAGCGATAAATTTTAGTGTATAGCTTCATTAACTGCTTCAAGTTATACACGCTAGAATAAAAATTACAGCACGCAAGTTAAGCAATTTTAGGTGCAAGATTGCTGATAAATTGCAGCATCAGTCAAAAGCAACGACAGGCTGAATAATGTCTTAAATTTAATCATAGTTTTTATAATAGCCAAATTTTGTGTAAAAATGATTATTTTTATGAATTTTGTCATATTGTGAATTAATAAAATTTTTAGTTCTATTTGATTAGTTACGAATTTTAAATAAAAACTGTAAATATTATTTTACATATTATAAAAATTTTATAAATTAAGTTGAAGGAAATAACATGTATATTAATAGTAAATAATTTTATAAATCTAATATATTTTAATATAATGATTGCTAAACGTTATTCTTGTAGATTTATATTAAAGCTAATGTAGTATGTGTTTCCTTTAATGATCATAGAACTTAATAAAAATTACACATATTTGTTTGTATTATAAATTATTGCTGATTAAAGTTGTAAAAAATTAAATTAAAATAAATATAATAACAAAAATTATAATAAAACCTTTTAAGATGTTTACTTTTTCTTAACAAAACAATCTCTACATTAACATCGACAATAACCATCAACCTTCAATCTTTAAAGCAACTATTGAAGTATAATCTTACTAAGTCGAGAACTATCATAAAACTAGAAAAATTTTACAGAGTATATTGCAAACTCATGAGTCTCAATGGATTTTCGAGTGAGGAAAACTATAAAATAAAGTAGTAAAAGCAGGAAATGAACTATAAATGTTAAAGAAAAATAAAAACACGAAAGAAAAGAAAGTACGTGTTACAAGCTAAGAGTGTAGATCTTACACCAAACTTTCTGTCGATAAGTATTTTGTTTGATAACACAAAGAAGCTGCAAAGAGTTATTAATGTTCCTCGTTGAAGGATTGAAGTTCTAACTTAGACACTTGGGATAGCAGCGTGTCTCAGCTTTCATGGTGTTCCTTTACGAATTAACGTCAAACTGACACATAAATAAAAGACTTTAGAAAGCTTGCTTCGTTACTGACACTCATTTTCGTGGAAGATGGACTAGTTAATATTAAATTAATTGAAAAATTAATTTAAATGACAGAATTTTTAACAAAGAACAAGATGAGGTTTTCCTAAAGAATTGATGTTAATGCAGTAAAGCAAGAAAGATTATAAGATTATCCAATTAAATTTTTCAACATTTGCCTCAATCTATTACTGTAACACTACATTAAAATTTAAAGTTGTCGAAAAATCTGTTATTCATCCGGAATATTTATGTTTAATGTTTACAGATTAATTATTTACCATTGAAATTTACTTAACTTTTTGTTTAAATATTTAAATACTTTCTAATTTATCACCTACATTTTAAACTTTTCAACGAGTAAATAGAATTGATATAACTTGAAAAATGATTTATACATAAAAATTCAGATTTAATAAAATATTAAACTTATTTAGAAACATTCTGCTTTAAATTTATAACAGAATATACATTCCACATACTATTTGGATTTCTTCATTGAATTTGAAATGAAATAGGTTGCAAACATTTTCAATTTGTAAATATAAAGTAAAGTTTATGCCAGTTGAAAAAATCCAAATAATGGAAAAATATTTTGGTTTCATTCTTATCTCTTCCTTTTCAATTTACTTACAATATTACTGAATTCAATTCTTATAGAAGTGTATTTTACAATGACAATTTTTTAAAGTTATAATAAATACAATTTAATTTAAATTAGTACGATTTACGAAATGTCATTCAGTCGTTACGATTCACGACTTTTAATTAGTTTCTAATAATATATTTTCGGTATTTGTATTTAAATTTATAAAAATTTTAAAATAAAACAAACATAAAATTATATAGTGAAGTTTTATAGGACTTTTATTCGCTTGGTTTATAAATTTAATCTACTTTTTAACTTGTAAACATATATAAATAGTAATGTTCGAATATTCAAAAAATTAAGAGAAATTCGCTTTTTAATTCAAAACTTTCTAAACTATGCTTAACATTTTTTTAAACATTATACATTTATTATGTAAAATAAAATATTAGAAAAGTTAAGTTAATCTTCCTGTGACATTATTTCAGTAATTGTTTCAGTATATACTATTAAATATACTTAGTTTATATTCTTTTATACTTAGTTTATATACTTTTCAGACATTTAATAATATCCATTATGGGTTCTTCCAATGGGTTCAGCCAAGTAATGAGGGACGAGACTCGAGACAGAACGCTCCCAAAAAAATTCTTGAGTTATTTGGACCGCTTTGTATTCGATTCCAAATCCCCAGAACGTCAGACTGACCTCTGAATCACCTCAGCTATCTGACCGTCAATTATATAAATTATAGTAAATGATGGTCGAAACATTTTCATTCATACAACATATGCTAATTTCAATCACTTTGAATCTTTTAGATTCAAATATCTTGAATAAACAAAATATCAAATTTGACAAAAATTGAATATCAAACTCAGCTTCTTTTAAAACATTTAATAAAACATTTAACACCTTATAACGCTGAGAAATATTTATTAAAACACAAACGTTTTCAGCCTAATGGAATAGGCCATCATCAGGTNATAAAATAAATAATATTTGCGTATGGAACTAAAGAGCCGCAGCTTCACATCCAAAGAGCCGCATGTGGCTCGCGAGCCGCAGGTTGCCGACACCTGGTATATACTATTAAATATACTTAGTTTATATTCTTTTTTTAAAACTCGCCACTTTTCGGACATTTAATAATATCCATTATGGGTTCTTCCAATGGGTTCAGCCAAGTAATGAGGGACGAGACTCGAGACAGAACGCTCCCAAAAAAATTCTTGAGTTATTTGGACCGCTTTGTATTCGATTCCAAATCCCCAGAACGTCAGACTGACCTCTGAATCACCTCAGCTATCTGACCGTCAATTATATAAATTATAGTAAATGATGGTCGAAACATTTTCATTCATACAACATATGCTAATTTCAATCACTTTGAATCTTTTAGATTCAAATATCTTGAATAAACAAAATATCAAATTTGACAAAAATTGAATATCAAACTCAGCTTCTTTTAAAACATTTAATAAAACATTTAACACCTTATAACGCTGAGAAATATTTATTAAAACACAAACGTTTTCAGCCTAATGGAATAGGCCATCATCAGTTTAAAAGTTGTTCGACAGCCTGTCACCTGACGATGGCCTATTCCATTAGGCTGAAAACGTTTGTGTTTTAATAAATATTTCTCAGCGTTATAAGCTGTTAAATGTTTTATCAAATTTAACATCCGTGAATTGGGATTTCATTATAAAATTCTTTTCTTATAAACAATATTTTAGTAATAAAAATAAAGCAATAGCTAATTTACTAATATAAATCAAGTGTAATATGAAGAACCAGTACAATACATCAATTAAGAAATATTGATAATAAGAATAATAATAAGTTAGACATATAATTATTTTTTTATAATTATTGAAAATAATGTATAAAACTAAATTAAAGATTCCTACATTTAAAATTTGTTCTGATGCATTAAAATGTCTTAGTAATTAAAAATTTATTGCGAAGAAATAAATTTAGAAATATTAAACATAAAATTTTGTCACCAAATTTTTAAACTTAAAAATTTAGATCGTCATTTTTTTTTTACTTTCAATATTTCTATAAGAAAAAAAAACTTAATTATTGAGCAAATAAAAAAGTTTTGTATGATTATATTCAATTTTTAGAAAGTAAATTTGTAAAATTTTTGAAAGTAATTTTCTTAAAAGCTATTTTGCATTTATTAGAAAAACAAAATTTTATTTCGGTTTCATCAAGTGTTAATAATATTTATTACATGTAAGTAAATAGTGTAGAAAATTTTCAGTTATTATCGACTTTTTATAAGAATATTCACTTCCACGTAAACGCAAAAACATTCCGATTACACGCATCAATTCTGTTTATTGATTTTTATTAGTGGAAAAAACTTGAATTATCTATTTTTACACGTTGTTTACAAGTATGCAAATCTATTTATTCAATTTTTTGGTGTTTCTAAATAAAATTCAAATATTTTAATTAGGCTAATTTTCTTTACAAGGAGACAAAATTTCTACGTAAGAAAAAAATTTTTTATTAAAAAAAATCTCTCATTTTCAATAATTACTAATTTTCCTGGTAAATTAAGGTAGAAAATATTCCACAAATGGAAATAATGTGGATTGAAAATGTACAGTAGATAGTATCATCAGTCGCAAATTTCACATCTAAATAGCGATCGGAAAAAAAGATAAATTTTCTTCTCCCACAAGAATTTTTGACAGTTGTAAGATTAATGTTCTTTCTGACATCGTAATGATGGATGAAAGAGAAGCAAAGATAACGTATAGGAGGGCAGTTGCAGATTTTAACTGAAACCGATTGACTTTCCATCAAAGTTCAGACTAATAATAGAGAAACATGACAAATATCTTGAAAATTGCTTTTACAATCATGAATTTGAAATTTTCTTACAAAATTTAGTTTCGTTTCAACTAAATAAGCATATAATAACAATTAAGATAAGGAAAGAAATTTATAAAAATTTCAGATTAATCTTGTCTTTACTGAGAGTTTCTACGTTAGATCGAAGAATGTGCAGTGTTTTCTGATTTATTTTGTAAATAAATTGTTTTATTCACTTAAATGTGTTACTATAACCGAGTTAATTAGTTTAAAATATTTATTACATTTTTTATAATTATATTATTATTAATTTAATAATTACTTTTTTAGATTTTGTACTGTACATGTATAGAAATTTTCGTCTAACTCCAATAAATATATCAGATCACAGCTAAACAATAATAATTAATTTATATACAAGATTACTTGTTCAGTAATAATAATACAAATTTAAAATATAAATTAAACTATGTATATTTAAGAATAATTTACACGCATCCTTAAAACATTTTACGTATATTTATAAACACAGAAATTGAAGTTAGATTTACCTTAAAATCTGTTCAGTGAAATTCAATCGATGATGTAAAATAATCTATTTTATATTTTACCTTACTAAGTAAAAATGTAGAGCATTATCGATTATATTTAATAAAAAAAAGTTGTATACGAAAAAGCAATAACATATGAGATATATACAATATATTTTCCAACATTACAAAATGTAATTTAGAATGAAGAAAGAAATATTTCATTCACTGCAATCGTAATAAATAAGATTAAGATATTTCAGGGAAAAATCGTGAAATCCAGCCCACATAAAATACATTTTAGTATTTACTGAATTCTTTATTAAGTACGGTGTTGATTTATTTCAATTTTCTGTCGCTTCAGTCAAAATTGAATTATAGATTTTGTGACAGTCGACGTTCATTGACTGAGGCTGAAAGGCATTTAAAATATAACCACTGCTTCGAATAAATTCATTCTAGCATAGAATATATAGTACATATATTGTATATATATTATATAAATTCCTTTCATATTTTGATCGTAAAGCATATATACATATATTTTTTATGATAGAATTTTATAAAGAGAAAAAATTAAAAAGTTGGATAGTTTCAACTACACTTCTCGTATTAATATAAATTAAATACATATATATAGTTATTAATTATTATAGTTTAGTTGTGTCTTGCATTACAGTTGTTGTGTATTAATAAAGTTAAGTATGATATTTACAATAATAAACAAATATATTAACAATTATATTGAGAACTCAATTTCTAACTTTTTATAGTAGCTTAAAGATTGGATTAGTTTGTTTTAGCCAAAGTATAGGAAATATACAAGGATGTTATCTTAATAAATAGAGATTACGGGCAAGAGAAAGCCGAATATTTGAACAACTTGACAATAATAGAGAAGTTTATATTAGATAGTAAACTCTATCTTACGGAACAAACATAAACTTCTGGCACAATTCCAATAGAGAATAGACCATACTCTTTCTAACAGTACAAATAGAAATGAAAGCAGAAGCCACACAATGTATTTCTTCACTTTAATACTTTCTAAACTGTGATACGTGACAGGAAAATATAGAGTTATATAAGGTACTTTAGCAACTAATTACGTTTTGTGTAGTAGACATGTCCAGAAAAAATTAACTGTTAAAAACGCGACAAAAAGACAGAAATTTCATGTCAGTTCATATGTCGGGCGAATCATTCTTAGATTATACATAAATAAATTTAATAATTTATTTATTTTTAATTATAATAAATGGATGTTTATAATTTTAAAAATTCACTAAGTAATTAAAATAATGATGCAATTATTTATTAAAATTGCTTTAATCCATTTAATTTTCAAAGATTTATTGGTAACGCCTTCGATAATTCAATTAACTCTAACGGTGCCTTTTAATTTTTGAAAAGAAAATAATAGACTTGTGAAAGAATTGGGAAATTGTATTTTAAAATGAATAATTTATAGAATTATTTAATATTATATTCAATTGTATTATTAAAGTTTTCATTATAGTTATATACGCTGTAATTTAATAAACCTGGATAAAAATAAAATATTTTAGTACACAGGAAAGCATATAGTAAATTTATTAGAATAATAAAAATATTCTAAAAATATATTAAATTGGAAACTTTTATATACATTCAAAACAAATATTCTATCAAGTTATTATAAATTCATTAAATTTTTTAATAATAAACAATATATTGTATCTCATTAGCAATTTTAACAAGAATAAATTATTTAAAAGTAATTTAATTACTTAAAAGTTTTAAAATTAATTTGTCTTGATATAATTTTAAAAAATTTTTGTACAGAAATAAAAAATATTTTTCTAAACATTAAATTTTTAGTCATACTTTTTCTAATTTTTTATCTCTCAGTTTTAATAAATCCAGCTTCAAGCTATTTCTTCTTCCTTCTTTAAACTGTATTTTTCCAGTAAGTCCTCTAAATTCTGCCTGAAAAGAAAATTTCTTTTATTATTTGACATATTTTTCATACTCAAAAGCAGTAAATTATATCAATTTATTATATGAAAGAAAATTAAATTATTGTGTTAAAATATATGCTACTGTATTAAATACCGAATTTATATAATTGAATAAGCTGCTTCCATCATTCCAAGGTACTTCATCCTCACATGATACATTAGTAGGTCTTAAAGTTGCTCCGAGATGAAGAGAATGGATTCCATGAGCTAATGCGTAAACAGAATCGTACATCAAAGCCGGTTCAACCTGTAGGAATTAGAAGGAAGTGTTTGTCGAATATCAACATGGAAACTAGAGTATTAACATGTTCCATCTATAGTTCTCGATGTTGATTAAGTTGAACAAATATTTATATATCGATTTATCTTAGAAATTTAAACAGATAATAGTCATTAGCATAAATATTTACATAAGTATTGAAAACTTTACTTTGATACTCATATTAACTGTAAGAAAATACTTAGAAACAAATTAGAATAATTTAAAAACTAAACTATAAAGTAGAAAATTGTTTTCGGTCTCACCTTAATAACATTGGTCCTATTTAGTATATGTTGGCCAATGGGTTGAAATTTTTCCATATCTTTTAACGTTTGCCTAACGGATGGATGATCAGCATCTACCATTCTATAGGCAGTCATATTTACAAAATTATAATTGAAGTCTTCCAAACTATACGCTTCCAGATCCTATAAATGGAAAAACGAAAATGAGAAGAAAAATCAGATTAAAAATCGCAAATGATAAAAGTTATTTTAAAAATCAAATGAGCAATTAATATACAATGCAAATTTCTAAAAAATATTCCGGTTCTTAAGCACAGCTGACTGATAAGGACATTTTAATATATTTTTTTCTTGATTCTAAAATACAGATTTAATATCTCATTTGAATAAAGATAAAAACGTTAAGTGATACTGTTCTTCACATTAATAGCAGATGTGAGGTAATTTTGCGTTTTTGTAATCTAATTAGCTACAATTAATGGCATTAACCATTTGTTTAATGGTCATTTTTGTATAACAAAACTATATGTTTATAAAGACACTTCTAAATACACGAATTATTCTAACAGGAATCTGATCGTACAAAACAATGAAAAAATCAGTTAAAATATTAACGGCATTAACATTTTTGAAATATTGCTTTACATTAGTTTAATAATTCCTTAGTATAATTTATATTAAGAATTTATTGAGCAAACATTACAGCAGTGTAAATAAAATATTGTTTATTCTCAAAATATATCATAACATGAAACGGTACATTAAATATTACTTTCATAAATAAATAATTGTTATATGGCTAGTGATAAAAGAGACATATATAATAAGATATGATTGTTCGACGTCTATACTATTGTTACGATGTAGAACTACTGACAGATTGACATAACATCATGTCATGAGGAAATATCTAACAAACCAAATGATTGGTACTGTACATCGTTTCAGATCTTGAAAACGTAATGTTGTACTATGTTCGATAAGAAATGATTAGTTCTTAAATAAACGATTAACAGAAAAAAATAGTATATAAAAGTGCAAAATATAATTATATCTAATAGTTTTATTTTCATTTTTTACAAATAAAACAGTATTTTAAATTTCACTTACAAATGTTGTAAAATGGTAATAATATTTATAATCATTCATCTGTACTTGAAGGATCTAAAAAAAGTAAAAAGTTCACTATTAATCGAAAAAATTTTAATTATTAAATTTAAGTAGAAATGTCTAATTATGATACATTAATCATATTGTTTACATATATAGTAATATTATTAATTTTATTAAAATTGTTAACTATATTCATATTCACTATATTATATATCAATTATTAATCACTTTATCAGCGTGAAATGTAGTTAAATTTATTTTAATCTGTGGTAAAAAGTTAATTTATATCAAGTTATTTTTTAAGAATTGTTATTTTTATGTTTAAGTACATGTTTAATTTTATTTTTTCAATAAAAATGAAACAAACATCCTTCTTGTTGGAGAGAACTCAGTGAACTGAATCGGAATTTGTTCAAGTCCAGCAAATCTCTCTGATAAAAGCTTAAACTATTATTTCCCGAAAGGAAAAGATATATGAGAGTGAAGCTGTACAATATTTCAAAGAGGTCACGTATACTTTTCTTTGTTTTCTTTACTCTCTAAGATCATTGTTCAAAATATCTCGATATTTAGTCGCTAATCTTCCGAAAAATAAGATCTTAGATTTCAAAACGGCGAAATTGAGTTTTTTCTATACAAGTTCCATTTATTTTTTTGAACTAGACAAATCAGAGCATTTAAAAATTAATAATAATAATATTAAATTGCACACGAAATTGTCTTATTGACTGATTATCTAAAGCCTTATAAGATATTAAGATAATTTTTAAATTATATAACAGTAAAGAGTTATTTATTATTATATTCAAGAATTAAATATACAGTAATTATAATAAACATAAAATTAAAACTTACTTTATAATTGCGTAAAAAGTTTAAATCTTATCAATAATAAAATTATAATTGACAAGATTAAAATGATTAAAATTTATATGTTAAAAATTTTGCTTTATAATTTAATTTAATTTTTAATTTTTGTGAGATATAGGGGAGACCGGGGCAACTTCGGCATGCGGGGCAAGTTTGTCAAGCGCTTTTTTTTAAAAACAAATTAAAAGGAGACTTTGGTTATAGGTTAGGCAGTTGAGTTTTATTGGTGGCTTGTTGAGTGTAGTGTTTTTATTGTTCTCCAACAAGCGTAGTTGAATTATCAAGCAAATTTTCATTTTCGTTCAATTCCATATAATATTTTTTTTCCATTTATATTGAATTGGCAGGTTTTGTTATAATTCCATGATAACGAAAGTTACTTTTCCTGTTAGAAGGATGTAACTTCAACTTATTCACGTGGCCAGATCGTGGCTTGGCATTCTGTTCTCAGGGTTGTACTTAATGTTTCGAAATCATGACTAGCGGGGTAAGATCGGCAACATAAAGCCACATTAGAAGCAAAGGATAAAAATCAAACAGATGATAAATGAAAACATGTTTGCATTTGTTATTCATGTATATATGTCTTTGAACTTGCATTTCGTTGTAATAATATTAAATGGGTGTTGGATTTGTATTTCTTTGTTTTAATAGTGAATTCCAACTTATACATTGTTAATAACATAATTTTATATACGTGCCTATCTTGCCCCATTACTGTTGCCCCTATACCAGGGGCAACTTTAATAAAAATAATTAAAATAATTACAACTTTACAAAAAGAGAGAAGTTGCCGATCTTGCCCCTATACCCGGGGCAACTTCGTCAATTTCTCTCTTCTTGTAAAGTTGTAATTATTTTAATTATTTTTATTTCCAAACTGATTTTAACCAGTTCTATAGTAAGGTAACATTCCAATAGACAATATGCAAAGCTTTTTTTTTTCAGTTTACAGCAGTATTTATTATACAAAATTTAAGTAAAGCTTAACATGCCGATCTTGCCCCGGTCTCCCCTAATTAACCGAATTTGTTGATTAGTTTTAGTTGATTTTAAACCGTTTACTTGTTTTACATGCCTAAGAAGGAATGGCGATTTTCTACAGTTGGAAAATCAGTTTCTCTGCAGACAACAATTAATAATGTTTTTTTCTAATAGAGAAATTTTAGAGTGTATAAAACTGAATTTAAATTTAATTGCATATGATACTAGGCAAATTTAATATGTTCCAGGCGTAATTTTGAATTATGATTTGTTTTCGAATCTTATTCTTGTTTGAGAGCTATAGATATGGAATAGAAGAACAAAAAAGTATCAATAATATGATTACGATATAGTATTATATCATACGATTAATCGTATTATATGACGATATAAACATAAAATTGTTTTCAAGAATATTTAAATAGAAAGAGATTAAAATCAGACCACATTGATTATAATAAATATGCTATAAAATATATTATCGAAATTTTTATGTAGTTAAAAAAAGCTTGTTTATAAATGATTGATTAAGTAAATAATTACTAGTGTTTAAGTGTGTGCGTGTGTGTGTGATTTGAAAACAAAAAAGACAAAGAGAATAAGATAACATCTATTTCCACATCACAATTTAACGATTCGTACAATGTCTATTTTTCTCTGCCTCTTCTCACCTGTCCTTCCAACTTTGCACCGTTAATTTTTCTTACCCTCGGATTAGGTGGATCTCTCCGTTAGAACCTTCGTTTTCGTATTTGATCTTTCCTGACGACTTGTCAAGACACTGAGGGAGACGACGTTACAAATCAGATGCGAGCAAGAACTATTTTTTGGCACTAACCTTCAAGACTGTAGCGGTTGTTAACATTTATCTTTGTTATAGGATAAGACCCCATACATTTTGTTAGGGTCTTTTGGGCAGATCCGAATTACGTTCTTTACGTAACTTTCAGGTTTCCTTCACGATACTCTTTTGCTGAAAAGAATGATATTCATCCACTTCCAATTACATGTCCGAAGAATTCAACTCTCTTTTGTAGGAAGCGACACTTTTTCGAGTTACTAATCAGTCCATTGCCCGCAGCTATAATTAGTGTTTCCTTCAGTTTGCAGAAAGCGTCATCAATATCAACTCCTGGAATAATTACGTCCAGGACCGGATAGATGAGGCGGCTAAACAACGGTCTCAGGCGACATTTTTTCTAATAAACCATTCTTAAAAGTCCTTTTAATATTTTATCACAAAAGAAAAACGTACAAAGGCTGAAAAGGCACAAGACATTGGAAATTGTAAAGGCAAAACATCTAAACAGTATAAATAAGTTTTTATTTCCATTATTAATTTTATGTACAATTGTGTTTCATCAGCAAACTTTGCCTCACTTTATTAGTTTTCATTATCTGGCACTGATTACGTCGTACATATACAAGTGTATAACCTTCCTTGCAATGATATCTCTTAAAACTTCTTAAATGAGCCTCGTAAATCTTCCTGGACTGTTGCACAGCCCAAACGGTATCTTCATGAATTCGTCTGAACCATTACGAGTTACGATTGAGGTGCATTATCGAATACCCTTGACGACAGGTACTACTGTAGAGGCAGTTAGGGAGGAAACAATGCTGGATAATGATGGGCCCTCTTAGTTAATGTACTATACATGGAAGTAACCTTTCTTTAAACCAAACAACACTAGAAAAACGCATGTGCATTAGTAAGTGAATCTAAACAGTATTCAAAAACAGGGATAGGGAATATGTCTCGTTAGATCTTTATATTAAGTCTACCGTAATCGAATATTACACTCCGACATTAATCTTTCTTTGAAGCATTCGCTACTAAATTAGCTAACACTGAATCGAATAATTCCATTGTTAAGACATTCCTTAATTTGTTCATTCAAAATCAGCTTTTTTTCGGAACTATTCTGCGATGTTTAGAACTGACTGGTACATTTGATATTATTCTGATTTTGGTCTCGATATTCGTTTTACTTCATTCTTAAGTACGTAGTTTGCGATAAGGTCTTCAATTTCTCTTCTATAAGATTCTTTAACTTTCACTTCGTCGGGGCAATGATACAATTGATAACTCTTGGTTCACTCCAGTCACTACTCTTAATGTCATGTTTGTTTGAGAGGTTAACTGCATTTATATTTTATTTGAACGCTTACCCATTTCATTTGTCAGGTATTTTATGTGTCTTGTTTCTTCTAATAGTAATTTCGGCATCTATCAGTAGTTCTTATTCAATAATTATTGATACAGGTATATATATTTAGTTGGCACAACGGATATTTCTGACTTGACAAACTCAAATCCAATGCTGATGTTATACATCAATACTCCAGTCGTTTTATATCAAATCTTCCTACTCTCGTAAACATACGCATTGTCTTCTGTAAGATTAAATGGCCGATCCTTGAATACTTCTCATACAATACCATATAATTTCTATTGTTGATCAGTGCATCACAACAGACATTATTGACATCAGGCGTTCCTGTCAAGTTTAACTGAAATATAGGAAACTGTGAGTCTTTTTCAGTTTTCTCATCCTTATTGATGAAACATTGATGAATATTGTTCAAATCGGTTGAATTTGAAATATATAGCCCCTTTACTTTTATTTGGGTTTTTGTCTACTTCGTGTTCGATTGAGTTTGATTAGATAGATGAGATAAGGCAAAGCAACACATGATCGATCTGCTAAGAGATGGCCTCCTGGGAGTACTTTATGTAGGAAGTTGATTCCTATTTAGGTGTTAGACACGTAAAAGAATCCGGAGAACTCCATGAGATTGGCCCGTTTGCCAAGTGTGAACTCGAAAACAACTACAGCACGAGAAATAAAACGTTTTGCTCTCTGTCTTCCACTTTTGGAATATTTAGTAGCTTCCTTTCCATTGTTTCTTAATTCCTACTCGACTTTTCATTTTTTCAAAAATTTTGAAAATTTCTTTTAATTCCTGCAGTGTTGACTCTGAATATAAGATATGTATTCACTTGTTCATATTGAATACCATCTATGATGTATTAAATTAGCAGCCTTGGCTTGCAAGCTCCTGCAAGGCGCTTGCAAGCCGTAGATAAACTGGCGAACACTTTTGCCTTTCATTTTCATTTTTTATTTGTATATTGTAGCATTTTTCACTTCTGGTTTAAAGTCACTTCGAAAACATTTTTTTGAGAACATTCCACGTAGTGAGTTTTTCTCAAACTTTATAATTTTTTTCACAGATCTTTGTAACATTCGTCAACTGTTTCAATTCGCAATGCTGCAAAATCTAATTTGCAAATTTACTTTTCTACTTGAAGCACGCCGTTTACAGAAGTATATAATTAAAGATGTGGGAGTCTGCGTTACTTAAAGTCAATGTCTTTTGTCAAACTTCTACACTTAGAAAGGATGCGATTTTTCTGCATGTTTCTGTATATCACGTTCAGAACTCGCCTTTTTTTCCGAACGCGTATCTTCTTCGTCGATGTATTCTTCTTACTCTCAATACGATTCTTCTTATTTACATTCATCTTCGAACCCTCTTTAAAGTTTGTTTGTGTGTTACATAGATTTTATGTTATCACGTACTTCAGATTTTCAGCCCGCAATAGGCAAACTTAATTTTTGTAAATGCTCTTGAATATTTATTATTCGGAAGTTTCTTCTTCTAAAATGGGTGTCTGTTCCTCTATTATATTCTTTCTAGCAGCTACAGTATTCGTTCATGTCACATAATACAATGACTGTTGACGTTTACAATATACAATTCAAATATGAAATCTTGCTGATCTATGATCCCAATACTTGCATGTCTCTATCTGTTCTCTCGCCTTCAGCGGCAAGACCGTTCTGATTTTCCATTTCGCCTTCGACTGAATACTTGATATCCTCTATATTCGACATTTTGAGTACTTAATTCTGTAAAAATTTTAGGTAGTTGCTTTTGTACAACTGAATTGACATACAGACATCGACGTTCAACTTTAAAGCAAATGATAGACAAACTTATTTCTATGCATACTAACTTGAAAAAGATATATTTTCGATGTCCTCCAACTAAGGAAGACATCAAGAATAGGATTCTGCATAAACTTTCTTTGTAGATAAATCTAATAGATATGTGGCAATGTCTGTAAGACCTTAAGATAAAAAATAGAAAATTGAAAATCAATTGCATCTTTTAGACACAGTCGATATGAACAGTTTAAAAGATATTAATGGAGTAATTTGAATTGACACTTTGAAAAATCGATGTTTACAGAATGCCTTCAAACCATTACGGTTTGAAAGTTCTGATTCTGAAAACATTGTTTTTACCTTAGGTCTCTTCCTACGGACACGGCCATGTATAAAGCATGTTTGATTTATCTACAGAATATTTATTTCTTGTTAATAATATTTTAATCAACTCAATATTTACAAAATTTTCCAAGTTTTTNAATATTCTCCAATAAAATAAAATGAAATAAATTACTTTAAGTTATAATAATAATTGTGATATATATATATATACAACCTGTACAACCTCAATTATTTCAATCCAATGCATTTCTAAAAACGATTCGAATATCGGATATTGACAAATGTTTTTCATTACTTATTATAGAAAAGTTTCTTGTCCATTTGAATAACCTATACAATTTTCTCAAATGTTTCTAAAATACCTCAAAAACTGTTTATCTCTATATATATTTTATGTTTACGTGAATTAAAAAGGAAAATTTTCTCTTCTAAACTTTTAAATTAATTTTGTAAATAGAACTGAAGAAGTCAATCAGAAATCAAATAGACTACACGAAAACATTCAAAAATTATACACTGTCAATAGATTTAGCATATGAGATATATTACTTCTTTACACTTTTTTTTAATAAAAATGCAAATAAAAATATTAGAAAGAGTTCTTCTAATTTATTTTTAATTCAGTATTGATAGTTTACATACCACTTGAAATAATACAGCTGCTTACTAGATATTTACTTTTAAAATAGTATAACTTAATTTGGAGGTAAGAATAGTTGAAGGAGTACATTAATTCAATTATATTTTACATTATAATATCTTGTAAGATTCTTCAAAATATAACACGGCATTTCAAGTATCAAATATCGAAGAGACACGCTATCAAGAGACATTTGAAGATTGAGTATCCTTAACTTCAATAAAGAATAAGAATTAAAAAAAAAACTTTTCGAAATCATAAAATTTTGTGAGATTAATCATGTTATTTTTCTTACCAAAAAAAGATATAAATAAATTTTTTTTAGAAAAACTTAATAAGACATTGTGCACTTGCATCAGCTGTTTGAATGAAAGAACATCACTTATTTTTGTTTTCAATGAATTGTATCAGATAATTATCTGCATATATTAATAGATAAATGCTAATAAAAAGTAATTCAAATTTAAAAAAAACATCGTTTCTTAATATCGTTTCCATTGTTTCACTGATAATTGCAATTATTTTACATAATATATATAAATTTTTTTCAAATTATATTTAAAATAACAGAATATACTAAAAATAACTACTGTAAGGAAATTTAATATTATCGATTGGAATGCATAAAATAAAAATTAAATGAAAATAGTGTAAATAGTTTCATAGAATTCAAGATTTATAATGTATAGTGAATAGGAAAATATTAACAAGATTGATTTAAATATAAATCATTTTGTGAGATCATACTAAACAAGTTGTAATATTAATTGAACAAATTTATATATAGAATATCAAAAATAACACATAGTTTATTTGTATTTTATGTAATTATTAATTTTAATTATTTTGAAAACCAAAAATTACTTTCTAGTAATATCGCATTAGTATAAGGAAAAGTGTGCATATAACTTTTTAAGTAAGTAAATTATATTTATATTTTATATTTTATCAGAAATATCAGTTATAGAAACTGACATAAATTATAAAAGAAATATCATTGTATAGATTATATAGAATACATAATGTTCTAATTCTTATTATGATATTTTGTTCTGCTCTTTCTTTTCATATGGACAGTTACTGTTTGCTTCGTTCACGCACTTGATCCATCTTTTCTTTGGTCGATCAGTGGTCTCTTCACTCTATTTTCATGTCAATAGATCTACTAGTAATTCTATCACCATTCTTCTCGTGTATCCAAAGAAACGTCACTTTTTCCTTTAATGTATTCTTCTTTTATGATGAATTCTAGTGTATTTTTTTCCTTTTATTTCGTTGAATAAATAAAGTTTATATTTTATTTTTATATTCCTTATTCAAAATCTTCGAATAAAAAAAATCTTTGAAAATTTTATGTATTGAATCATTATATTTTTAAATTTTATTTATTCAGTATTAAAAAAACTGTTATGCATTTCCTTTTTATCTTTGTTGTGCCAATGGATAAGATTTATCAAAACTCTTACGTGATGTAAAATTAAACTTTTTGCAATGAGTTTCTGTTTTTGCTTTCTTGAACAGAAAGCTCAAACAGAAACTCATTAATCTAACATTAATTTTAAATTATTTTTCTGCCAATAATTAGAATTATGTTTATTTTTCACGTTTTTTTTCTACTATTGCTTCTAATAACAAAATAATTATGATTTTATCTTGTTAATGAAAAGCCTAAAAATATATTATTATAAATAGAATTTAGAATAGAAAAAATACTTAATTGAAAAATTTTGTTTAAAAAAAATTGTTTTTAGAAAATCGATATTAACTTATTACAACGTGCATTAAGAAGTTAATAATGTACAAACGTCTTCCATTAAAGTAATTTAATAACTAATATAAAATGACAAAATTAATATAAATATAACGTATGATCTAATATATATAATTCTACGAGGAATTTAAAATTAGAAAGAAAACTCACAGCTTGAAGCAAAACTGGCAGACTGTCCGGCTTCGTATCGACTATAACGCTGTAAATTCCCCTACTTTTAATATCTCTTAGGACTTGTCGAAACATTTCTTTGTTGCTTTTACGAAATATTACTTGTAATTCACGAGGTAAAGGCGGACGAAGTAATTCTTGAAGACTGATTAATGCTGAAATACAATTATTTCAGCCATAAAAGATATTTAGATAAGCTAAATGAATTAAATAAATAAATTTTAAGGAATGAAATTTAAAGTAAAATTCGGCTATAAATGGCTGTAAATTTTTTATTTATTTATAAGTAAACGGAACTGACATAACTGCCAAAATAAATGAAACATATAAGAATAAAATAATATAGTTCCTGAAATGTAGGTTAATTAAATTGAAAATCTTCCAAATTAGTATTTAAATTCATAAGAATAAACAAGTACCTACACATGTCTTCTTCGTAGATGACTGCAACTTTGGTCCAATTGAGATATCTTATTAGATCTCTGATGGAATTACCTAATATTCTCGGGCTTGGATGAAGATTGATAGAGAATTCTTTTATTTCTGGTTCCATGTCAAGTCGACACTCTACGTGAGGTATATCTAACGCGTCGCAAAGTGACTGAATATGACTACCCAATAGAGGATCTTGAGGGCCAAAGATAGCGCTCACTCCGGAGCTTACTTGCATGCAAGCTAAAATAATAAAAAGAAAAACATTAACATACCAGAAATCTTTATCACTGTAACTGTATTCATTTAAAACACTTCATTTAAAAAATAATTAGTAAATTATTCAGGTATAAATAGAAATTTGCTAATTTAGAAAAGACAGAAATGACATTTTTTAAAAAAGTTTTTAGCTAGTGTAATTCTGAATCTTTATATTTAAGACATATATTTTATTCATCTTTTATATTATGTACTGTACATTTATTGTATATTAACTTTAAACTACTACTTTAACTCTTTTCGAAATTCAGTTATTGATTTCAATTTTTTAAAAAATATAACAAATATATGAATCATTATAATTTATCGAATATATGCATCGGTATTAAATTCAAAAAAGTCCACCTGTCCACTAGCGTTTTTATTAAACCATCCCACAGCCCATTGTATATTCCCTCCCAATCCAAGGATCCGTATAAATATAAAATTGCAGCTTTCAGAGCTTTAATAAGAAGGGCATTTTTGTATTGTGAAAGAGTACAAGACAGGAGGAAAGAAATAAATAGAATAATAAACGTAGCCAAGACCCTAGGTTACCAAAAAAGTACAATTCTGGGAATAGTTAGGAAATATGAAGCCAACATCAAGAAAGGGTGTTTTAAAAATGCTCCCAATAGATTCGTAAAATTTACATATAATGAAAGTATGAATACAGTCATGAAAGAGATTGCAC